GGTGGACATGGCGGTGGATGTGAAGGACCACTCCCAATGACTAAGAGCCATGAAGAGCCATATCCAAGAATGCTTTTTCCCCTACCAGACCCCAGAGCCCTACTTAGGAGTTGCTCCTGCCTCCCTGGGGACTGAATGTCCCATTGTGGAAAGTATTTCTGACATTAGCATGCTCAAGGCCTCACCCAAGATTAGGAGGCTGTTGTGCAACACACAAGTGACATTTCCTGCCCTGGGGGCCTTGCAGTCCTCATAAATGGTAGGTGCGAGGGGAAAAAGATCTCCTTTTATACAGCAAGCTGATGACCAGGATAGGGTCAGGACCCAGTCCATCCTCTCCATCGCCTGGGTCATTCAATGAGATTTCACGATCTGCTCTCATGTGGGAAGCTCCTTCATGGACTAAAGGTAGAAGGACTAAGTAGAAGGCCGTTAGCATTAATCAAGGCCAAGGACCTAACCCTAAAAAGAACTGAATGATCCCAAGACTGATATTATCCAAGATAAGGGCTGGGCAAAGGCACTCATGGGAGCCGTATTTCAAAGAGGAAGATGAAGCCATTCAGCACCCATGAGGCTACTCCAGCCATGGGGCTGTGTCCTTCTCATCCTAAGCAGCAAACCTTATCCTTTCCTCAACCCTGTCCCAGTGCTGGCCATACCTGCCTTTGGTAGAGGGAGTAAATCTCTCCAGCAGAAAGGCTATTACAGAGGTCACCGGACGGACCCATAAATCTCCATTATCAGGCAGCGGCTCCTGTGCCACGAAACGGAAATTATTGCCCTGAGTGTGACTGGGGGAGCTTTTCCTTCCCCCCGCATTGTTCAGGGCCCTCCGGGAGCCGCTCGGGCAATTTGCTGCCTGAATAAACGTTTCCTTTCCCGGCTGCTAAGTACAAGGAATAAGTGTCAGGGGATCTCATAACGCCAGGATTTAGAGCTCCAGCCCTGAGACGGAAGCCAAGAAAACACTCTGCTGCTTTTTCCTGGGGAGCCTCCAGTCTGCCGCACTTTAATCCCCGTTATTAATAACAGTGGCAAATTAAACAATCAGTGCACTTGAAGGCCAGTGACCTCCATGCTCGATATAGCTCAGCTTGCTGGTGGATCACGGTTCCTGTGGGCTCTGAGCACTGGGCTTCTCTTGGTGGGGACCTTGGAGATATTGCTGTCTTCTCATGAGCATGCAGGCATGGGGAGGGGGTCTTGCCCCCAGCTATGCCCCTGGGGGAAGGAGGCAGGCAGAAACCATTGGCCCAGATCTTCAGAAACAAGCACGTATTTTGAGCGCTCGTATTTTGTAAGTCTTGGACACCCACCCAGGTCAAACTGCATGGGCTGCAACTCTTCAGACAATGCTTTCGCCTTATTTTGTAGACCCTCAGGTTTTCAAGAGCAGGTGGGGTGTCTCAGCTGTGTGGCCAGAAGGTCAGCTCAGAAAGCTCCCCTCAGCGACTTCATCCCTGAGTTTAGCAATGCTGTGATGTTATAGGACCTCTTTTAGAAAGAAATACAGTCCCTTGCCTTCCACTTCTCCAGGGGGGCCCAAATGCCCTTCGTTCACTAAAGGGAGTGCACTAAGCCTACATCATCTTCTCTGAGCCAGCATCCAGCAGTGTCCAAGACACATCCTTTGCTACCATCAAGCATACTTTGAAGGGGGAGAGGATATTTCTCCCCCAGGTGAGACCTCTTGAGGTCAAGGAGCTCCCTCTGCTCCGACGGGGCTCCAGGAATGGTTTTAATGAGGTTGCACTCTGCAGATGTCATCTTCTGACTCAGCATTGGGTGGTTCGCGCCAGGGACGCACCCATCTGATATCACCCCACGAGGGCTGTGATTAGGGAGAGCCACCCATTGCGTGGAGCCTCAATGTGCCCCGGGGAACAAAGTCTGTTCCTTTCCCCTTCTCGAGCACCAGTAATTCCTGTTCATTAACATTCACAAGGATCACCTTTGTCTGCAGCTGAGAGGGGGGAAATCACACAAATACTCTTCCTACCGAAGCAGGAGAGAGGTGAGTTTTTTAAAAATTAAACCAGTGAAAGTCTCTCAAGACAGAAGATCTGGTCCAAATCCCATAGAAACTGAAAAAAATACCCACCCCAAACAATTAGTGAAGAATACGGCTCAGAAAAAAACAGATGAAAAAGAACAGCAGAGGGAACAAGTCTCAAGACTGCTTTGCAGTGGGGTTTTGGATGTCTGATTACAAACCAACAGTGAAAATATTGCAGACAGTGGAGCTGGCTGTCACACAAACTCTTAGGAAATAACACTCAATATTCAGTAGCAAATTTGATTATCGTCAGAAAATACGAGGCTGATGGTGTGTCTGGTTTCAAGCCCACATCCTCTTTTTTCTTTTGTTTTCTAAAAACAGAAGTATATCCACCCATACTTGACATTTCTTCCTATCCTGTCCATTTTGAGGGACCTTTTTGTTCAAGAGCTAGTCCAACTCTTAATGTTTCTGAGGGACCGTTAGGAATCGTCTCCTTTTCCTGTGATTAAAAACTTTCAGATTTTGGTTTTCTGGTGGAAAAATCTCCAGGAAAGATGATATTTTGCAATTAGTCACAGCCACAACTCAAATTGGTCAAGAGTTTCAACTGTTACCTTTGGACTACCTCTGCTCTGCTAAATTCTCCCCGGATTATGTCAACAACTTTGTACTGAATTATTTTCAAAGAAGAAGGGATTTTCTTACAGGACAAAAATTACTGTGAAAATAATTTGGCTTTTTCTTTAGAAAACGAGAATCAAAAACCTCAACAACTTCCAAGATGAAAAAAACCCAAAACATAGTGAAATGTTTTCCTTTCTTGAGATTTTTCAAGGAAATTAGTTCTTTCCTGACCAGCTGTTCCAATCCCTTCTCTTTTCAAAAGAAGTTTATTTGATCTAGATTTTGGCTGTGATTCAATCGTGATTTTAAAGGGGAAAGTGAGGCGTTATGGTCATGGTATCACTGAATCCACGTGTACAAAAATCACCTGGAGGGATTCCCAGCTTTCCTAAACCACCAGAATTCCTCGAGATAATGAGATTTTCCTAAGCTGCTCAGAAGATACTGGATTCCTTCCTTTCTGGTACCAGAGCCCTTTGAGTACACTCGTTTACTGTTTTCTAGTATGGTTTTCTACTCATGGCCACATGGTGTAATCTCATGCCATTTTTAGCCTGGTTTTCTAGGGAGAATTAGGCTCACGTGAATCTTTTCCTCTGTGTCTGTTCACCTGCGCCACTTCGTTAATTTTTTAATCTTTTAGCTGTTTCATGGTTACGTAGTTTCCTACAGATTGTTCAAAAGTAGTCTGTAGAAAAGACAAAATAAGGCTGACGTTTGAACATAGCCCTTATTAGATATCAGAGGATCCACATGGGATTGAGACCCAGATCAGCAAGAAGCCAAATTTTGTTGGTCTCCTCTTTGGGGAGCTATTGTCTTCCAGCAGAAAGCTGAGCTACTTGCATAACAAGCAGGTGGACAAGGGCAAAATCTACCAAGACACACAATAACATTTCAAGAATGAATGTTACGTTGCTCTGTAATGGCTGAAGGTCTTGATGCAAAGCTCTTGCTGTCCTCCAAACATCTCCTGTGGGCTGCAGTTTGTTGGGAATTTTTTCAGCAGCTTGGTTTAGTCCCAGCCCATGCTAAGTAACAGAGCCCTTTGCTGTCATTTGTCATTTTCTTCTTCTCCCCAGTTATTTTATCATCCCGTGTTTCCTTTCTGATGCCCACAACACAACATGTCCACGTGCAGGAAGGAATGGTTTTGTAACAGAAGAAGTACATCCCCAAGCTGAACTCAATAGCTGACAGTGTCCAGGTGGGATGACCATCCCCAACGTGCATTTCCAAGGGCCATACCAGCTGGATGCAGCTACGTTTACATCTCAGCAAAGCCTATAGGTGATGCTTATATTTTATTAGGTGAAGTTCTTGGCTTCTTCAGGGCATTGTGTCCAAGGCTGAGCTGACCTGTGTCTTTCCAAATGGTGATGAAGTCGAAGTGCGTTGTGTTGACCTCTGCACCGCCTTGCAGATAATATGGACCTGCCATAGCCAGAGGGATTGGACCAGCCCAGCCCAGGGCGATTGTCCTCACCCTTACGCTACAGCTGCACTGGGCCCCAGTGGAGCCCAGGTGAAGCAGGGATGTGGCAGGTGAATGCACCAAGCCCTGGAGAGTGACATCAAGCACGATGGAGATTTGCATCAAAAGCTGAGTTTCTGTGATGCTTGTGAACGCCCAATGATGTCTGTTAGCGGACAGCCTGAGCTGGGGTTGTCCATGTGGATTCTTGCAGTTCAGGAGACGTGCAGTCTCTTCTTGTGCAGAGAATAGGGTGAAGGCACACGAACGTCTCTCCCGTTTGGCTCTCTGCGGCCATTCCCTTCTGCAGAGGGTGGGAGCTGGCACGGGCTGGGTGAGGAGAAGTCCTGCAGGGCAGCAGGACATACAGGCAGGGCTTTCCCTGCCCACATTTGTTTGAGCCCTGTTGAGAGATGCTCCAGCAGCTCTCTGGTCTCTGGGCAGTTTTGCTTTGTGGATCCGGGTTTGCATTTGTCCGTGATCACGGGCAATTTGTGCTGGTTGTAAACATGGCCGTTCGCCTGCCCCAATCTGTTTGCCCTGGCTACGTCCAATCTTGAAAATTGGATAACGTCAGAGCAGAAGGAGAGGTTTCTATTTCTGTCTCCTTGTATCCGTGTCCCAGCACATCCCTGCTGCCACAGAAGTCCTGCAGCCAACACTGTATGGCAGGGAAAGGGGTTCCTCTTCGCAATAATCCCAGGGGCTTCCTTTTCGCAATAATCCCAGGGGCTTCCTTGAGAAAAAGAAGACCTGTTTCTTGCACCCTATAAAATCTGAATGTTTGCGATTTCTTGAAATGTGACTTCTGGGCTCAAATATTGAGAACCAGACCAGAAATTACATGTACAATCGCATAATTAACCAAGTCTTTTCCCTTCTCTCCCATTATGGCAGCAGAATTTTTTGATGATTATTCAGAGGGGCGAGAATGTGTCAACTGTGGAGCCATGTCCACCCCGCTGTGGAGGAGAGACGGCACGGGCCACTACCTCTGCAACGCCTGCGGGCTCTACCACAAGATGAACGGCATCAACCGGCCCTTGTTCAAACCTCAGAGGAGGCTGGTAAGTCAAGACCACACAACGAACGCATGCGGGGCAAGGCTGTGTGTGAGGATGAGGCAAAAAGACTTCGGTTAGGTGGAGGTGCCAGGGGTGTTTCAATTCCTTGAGTCCCCATCTGCCCAACCTAGGAGGTTTTGATCCAGATTTCAAAAATAAGCCAGATTGCCTTGTTCTTGGTGCACTCCAAGATCTCCTACTGTCCAGATTAGTTCTGCGGACACCCGGGCCAGGCGGTGGAAAGGGCTGTAAGGACACAGGGGCAGTACTGTGGTGTTGGTTTAGCAAAAGCCAGTCTTTGCTTTAGATATTAGGACCAATGGAAACCCTTTCCAGCTCCACCATGCCAGCAGACCATCTTCTCTTGCCTTCAGGGTCCTTATTCTCTGGTTGCTTCATCGTGACTGGCCACCTTTTCTGGATACCTTGATCCAGGCTCCATTGGGTGAGCTTGTGGGGCAGGTCAGGGCATCCCAAAACCTGTGGGGTCAGGATGGGGTATGCATGGGAACATCTCAGTGTTGATATCTTGCCCATCCCTGCCTATTTTGGCGAGGGAATTTGGGAAGGTCTCTGCAGTCTGTGCCCCAGGAACATGGGCCCATCATGACCCCAGGCAGAAAGGAGACAGCAAGCCATCCCTCAGGGCCATATTTCCGCTCTCCTTGTCTTCCATGAGGCTCCATCCCCAACCTGCCCTGTCCTTTGCATTGCCCAGACCTGCCTGTGCTCAAACCGGTGTCAAAAATGACACTGGCAGCTTGAGCAAAGCCACCAGCCGCAGCCACCCAGCGCCCTCTTGTGAAAACCCTTTCCTAGACACTGCACTGACCGAGCCAGGCAGTGTCTGCACCCCAGCACCCAGACCCTTACAGGTCTATATGTTGTCCTCGGACACATCTGTGTCGTCAGGAATGGCCCGTTGGGTACCAAGCTTGGTCCTTGACAGCAAGCACCAACGTGTGCTGTCAACTCTGCACAGGCTTGAGGTAAGGCATGGAAAACCCCATGAGAAATATAAATACATGAGCTGTGCAGATCTGTACAGGCACCTTTGTCACTTGGCTGGGCAGCTGGCAATCTGGAAATCTTGCAAAAATGGCCAAATTCCTGCTTTTTCTTCTGGAAGAGAACTTCTGTGAAGAACAGGAGGATATGTCTCGAGATGCAAGGTAGGAGTGTGGTTACAGTAACGCCAACTGGTCTACCTAAATAAATATATTCAGTACAAGTGACTGGGTTGCATCTATCACTGTGTAAACCCCTTTTTTTCAGAGACTGAGGTATGCCAGAGAGCCCTGCAAGGGGAGATCTTTGCCTTTGCTGCAAGATTTAAGTTCTTGGTCCACTTACAAAGGCCGATGACTAAAGCTAACACATGGTGGAGTTACAACTACAGGAAAGTCTGGTTTCTCTGCACCAAAGGGGCTTTCAGCTTTCAAAGCCTTAAGAAATACTCAAATTTCAATTTTTTATTGTCCTGCTGCCGTAGATTAACTGATCCTGTTTTATCATGAGGGAGAAGACACAGAGAGAAAACTATGGCAAAGATCACAGAGGAAATCCCTGGTAGCTGCCAAGTCCTCATCTCCCAGGCTTTCACCCCATTACACAGCTGCCAGCTATGCTGTTTGGGTCTGCAGAGCTGGGTAGATGTCCAAGACTAACAGATTTCCTCTCTATAGACTCCTCTTCAGGCACCATGAGAACAGGCATCTTCATACAGCTCTAGCACTTCTGTTCAGTCCCCAGTTTATCAGCAAGCAAAGAGGGAATCTAACCCCAGCCCATGCAGACTTCATCCACAGCCTCTTAAGACCTGAACTTTGAAGGATGCTGGGAAGAGTCAGGCAGGAGTGGAGGATGTGGCTTTTTCTTCCTCCACCTCCCACTTGGCTTCCAAGCTCAAAACTGGTATTGTATATTTTTTTCAAGCCCATTGTCTAACTCTGGTGGCCTTTTGAGCCTGGCTAAACCAGTTCACCCAGAAAGGGACCTTCAAAAGGCCTGTTTCCTGCACTGCTTCATTAGTGGAGATTGGCGATGCTGCTGTAAGCACTCTTTTTCTTACCTTCCCCTCAAGCCACAGGAGCAAAGTATGTAACATTCATGGCATTGATAATGTCTTCTTGGGATACGCCATGATGCTTGGAAGGTGAAGGGAGCCTGAAAGGGCAGAATGGCCTGAGATCTAGACACCATAGTGTAGGTGTGCGCATGTGCAGTGGGTCTCTATGCAGCTACTAGACTCGCTGGAGATCTGGGGCTCCATTCAGGTGATGTCTCTGGTACCATCTGAGATGCCCCAGGACAGAGGTACCTGTGCAGTGCTGGCAGGCAGGAGGCAGTGGAGCAGAAGCTGAAAGGCAAGAGAAGAAGAAAAAGGCAGTTGTATTATCCACTGCAGCAAGGCAAAAACAGAAAAAGAGAAAGAAATAAGAGACACAAGAGCAGAGGAAAACCTGAGGTGTGCTGGAGCGAGCTTGTTGGGATCTGAGATGCTGCTGGTGGGCTGATGTGTCTTCTTCCTCTGCATTTTCTTGCAGTCAGCTTCCCGCCGCGTTGGCCTCTCTTGTGCCAACTGCCAGACAACGACAACCACGCTCTGGCGCCGAAATGCCGAGGGGGAGCCCGTCTGTAACGCCTGCGGACTCTACATGAAGCTGCATGGGGTAACGCCTTCATTGATCTTTACTTTCTGTGAGGAGGGTGTCGATAGCCCCAAGCTGGGGATTGGGTTCGTTGTACAATTCTGTGCTCTCCTGGAGTCATTTTTCTGGCTGTCCCTATGGGCCTTAGTCCCCCTGAACATTACACCATGTTTATACCGGCCAGGGGTGATGGACGCAGGGCATTTCTCACATACTAATTTGCTACCCTTTGCATCCAAGTCTTAAAACCCAATAAAACTCGGCTCAGATTGCTCAAACCTCAATTTAGGTACTTTAGAGAAAACCTGAGTCAGAAGCACAAAGAAGCACGTGGCTTTTCCACACAGGGTGCCAGATCCCAGCTAAGACTTGGTTGTAGACTTGTGATGGGAGCGATAGATGACTTTTCTTGCTCTAGTGCCCAGATAGTCTCTTCCTGTCAGTGGGGGCTTCACGTATCTATGTCATGTCTGATATATCTAGAAGAGTCCCATTGGAGTTCTTCAAGATGCAAATCTCCAGTCCTTCTACCACCAGTCAGTGGCAATGGGGCCACCACCATGGCAGAGACAGAGGCCTTCAACACCCTGGGGATTGCTTAATAGCCAACCCCTGTTCCACTTTTTATTGCTACTCCTAGGCTTTTTGCACACGTCCATGCTCCCAGTGATGTCCAGTGCTTCAGACTGGATGGAAGAACACTCATGAAAGTCAGGTCGAAGCTGGAAGACAAGGTGGATGAGGGGAAGCCTTACTTAACCCAAAAAAATGCTTCCCAATGTGTTTCTGACCATGAGGGTGACTACCTCAGTGGGATCAGTTCCTAAGGGAGCTCACCCCACACAGGCTTGACACCTTTCCAGAAAGCAGGTATTAGCCCGAAAGATATCTTCTGCTCTGACTTAAACAGGAAAGTAAATCACATGAGCTGTTTATCCCTTCTGGCCTTAAAACACTCAGTATCTATGATGTGAGAAGCCTATCTATTCCTATTTGGAACAGAATAGAATAGAATATTTTAGTTGGATGAGACCTATGGTGGCCATCTAGTCCAACTGTCTGACCACTTCAGCGCTCAAGAAAAGCATATTATTAATGGCATTGTCCAAATGCCTCTTAAACACTGACAGGCATGGGGCATCAACCACGATTTGGAAGCACATCCTATAGCTTTGACATATCTCTTCACACAGCAGTGCCGGCCACTGACTTTGGGCTCCATCTTGTTGTTGCTTTCAATTAAACCAGCTGGTTTTCACGGAGCCTATGAGGTAGAGCTGGAATCGCGTTCTCCTAGATGACATTATGGCCATACAGAAACCAACGTGCTTTTTTATTTGGGTCCATAGGTTCCAAGGCCTTTAGCAATGAGAAAAGAGGGCATTCAGACGAGGAAGCGCAAGCCGAAGAACCTTAACAAAACAAAGACGCCAGCAGGTAAGTGTTGAATAGGGAAATCTATTGTATGTCTATACGTGTGCTTCTGACCATCATGTCCTGTGAGTCAGGCACCCAACCACAAAATTGGCTGATTCTTCTAAAATGGGGGATGTCTGAATGCCCTTCGGCAGAAGCAAAGCCCTTCCCACTATTTATTTTTTTTTATTTTTACCCACACTAACTTCTTGGTGGGTGGGTATAGCTCTGGACTGAAAGGTCTTTGGGAAGCACCTGGTTTACTGTCTGCTTTCTCACAGGTCCATCCAGCAGCGAGAGTCTTACCCCGACCACCAGCTCCACCAGCAGCAGCAGCAGCACCACGACCACTGAGGAAATGCGCCCCATAAAAACAGAACCTGGGCTCTCATCTCATTACGGGCACCCCAGCCCAATTTCTCAGGTACAGAGGGGAGATGTTGGCAGCAGAACAAAGATGGGAACTTGGACGGTAGACATGGTGAGAAGAACATCTTCAAAACCTCTGTGGAAAAAGGCTTTTCAACCCAGGGGTCTAGGAGTTCATAGTAAGAGATCTATCCTCTGGGATGGGGCAAATCCCCCACGTTCTTATCACCATGTCTACAGCACAATATAGCTTTTGAATCATAAAATCATGGAATGGTTTAGGTTGGAAGACACGTTACAGATCATTGAGTTCCAACCCCACTGCCATGGGCAGAGACATCTTCCACCAGACCAGGTTGCTTAAAGCCCCATCCAACATGGCCTTGAACAACTCCAGGGATGGGGCAGCCACAGCTTCTCTGGGCAACCTGTGCCAGGGGATCACCACCCTCAGAGTGAAAAATTCCTTCCTAATATCTAATCTAAATCTCCCTTTTTCCAGTCTGAAGCCATTACCCCCTCATCCTATCACTACATGCCCTTGTGAAAAGTTGCTCTCCAGCTTTCCTGCAGGCCCCCTTCAGATACTGGAAAGCTGCTAGAAGGTCTCCCCAAAGTCTTTCTTCTCCAGGCTGAACAACCCCAACTCTCTCAGCCTGTCCTCATAGGAGAGGTACTCCAACCCTCTGATCATCTTCGTGTCCCTCCTCTGGACCTGCTCCAACAGGTCCATGTCCTTCTTATGTTCAGGGCTCCAGAGCTGGATGCATGATGTGTGGCAGTTCTGAATGGACAACAAGAAGTAGCAGCTTTGCTGAAAACATGAAATTCCTTCTAGCTGGCCATATATATAGGTCCCATAGCAAGAAGATGCCCACTCGCTTTTCATGATTTGATTTGTCTTGAGCAAGGAAAAACTTGCCAATATTACCATACTTTCTCCACGTTGCCCGGCTGTATGTCGAGCAGTACGAGAAATGCAGTGTGAGGAGAATAAACTCACCCATCTAAGTGAGTTGAGTCCCTGCGAAGGTAAAGCAAGGCAGCAGAAGTGGTGTGCTCTGTGCCGTATCCACCACTAGATGTCTTGGGAACAGCACTGCCTCCATGCAAGGTGCGGATCCTGCTGAGCAACGCCCAGATCTGGAAGCTGATCTGTGTGCATGTCTGCAGCTTTAATAACTGTGCCTTGGTTAATGATCCCCTTAGCACAGCACAATTAAGAGGTTTATCATAGTTACTCTACTTTTGGGTTCATAGAGGGAACTCCAGCGTTTAAATAAAATGATCCCTGGAGAAAAGAGCGTATGTGGTTGAGTGTTGTGCTGGAGTGATCCTGCACCTGCAGCACTTTGCAGCACTGTTAATATGTCCTGCAATCCACAGGAGGCCATTCGAAAGCTAGGAGAGCCCAAGGCAAATGAAATCTCAAGCCTCGGGAGGTAAAATGGTCATTTCTAATATTCAGAAGGGAACAAGGTGCCCCATATGCAGCAACAGGAAAGAAGAGGGTCTAGAACAAGAAGTAAAAAGTGTGTCCAAAGTATCATGCGTAAGCTGCAATTTGCAGCTCCACAGCAAATCCACAGACATGTTATTACAATAGCACCAGTGCCCCCCTAAAGGGACTCACGTGGTCCTCTATGGTTTGAAGCTTTGTTCACAGGATTTTCCTTTTTTTCCATAGGCATTCTCAGTCTCTGCCATGTCTGGACATGGATCATCTATTCACCCTGCGATTTCAGCTCTGAAGCTTTCCCCGCAGGCTTACCAGTCAGCTATCAGCCAGTCTCCACAAACCAGCTCCAAACAGGACTCCTGGAACAGCCTGGTGTTAGCTGAAAACCATGGGGACATCATAACTGCATAACCTGGTCTTCCATCCATGGACTTCAGGCTGATCTGCCTGAGAGATGAAGATGCCACGTAATCATCAAGTCAATGTTGTTTCCCACCTCTCCTGCTCTCCTGCCTTCTGTCCCCTTGTATGATGTTCCAGCAAAGAGGTAAAGAGGACTTAACTGAGGTGTAGGAGAGCTCTTATGAAATGAACAGAGAAGACTCAAATCTCAAAGTAACTACTGGATTTGAAGCCTTTTTTCCCCACTTTAAATGAGCCTCTCTATTCGATTGTCACCACCTTCTATGAAATAGCCAGAAACACAAAGATGGACACATGTTTATTTAAAAATATCTGGCAGTTAAGACTCAGACAATGGTGGAGCAGAGACGCTTTTTTTCTTCTGTCACCATCCGTTCTTTTCCTGACCAGAAGAAAGCGCCACCATCTTCTCATTACCCAAATTTAGCGATCTTCCACCAAATGAAGCCAGTTCTGGAACAGTTTGTTGAACAGACTTCACTAGACATGCTGTGGTGGCTTTAGTGGATTTGATATGATCTAGAGCAGAGAAAAGAAAGAGACCCTCCCACACACACATCCTCAGCTCACACATCTAGAGCATTGTCTTCATTTTCCTAGATGGTCTGAAAAGCTAATGAATGTCCATATTTAATAGTAACTCCTTTCCTATTTATCATTACAAAATCATGTGTTTCCAAAAGGTTGTTGGCTGAGCCTGGAGAAGGTCAGAAGGGGATTTTGGAAGGAGGAACCTTCTGGAAGCAGGTAGAGGACACCCACGTTGGTTATCAAATCCTGGAGGAGATTGCTGGGTTCTTCCCTTATAGATAGCTACAAGCCAGGCTTAGACATTATTCAAGAGCACAGCAAGTGAAAGATGCTCTTCTAACACTGCTGTGCCATTGCTTCTGAGACAGTTAATTTAATTATTTTGCATACTTTTCGGTTGCTCTTGATGTCATTGATGAAATCTGATTGTCAGTTATTTTTGGCTGTCCTGTGAGTGCCCACTTTCCCCCTAACAGCTGGCTCATGACCATTTCACACATCTAACCCTTCAGGATTTCACCTTTTGCCACAAGCAAAGGCTTCAGCCTCTGAAGGAGGTATGCAGCGGCCGTTTTCTTTACCAAGCACGTGCATAGACTTGCTTGCCTGCAAGAGAAGCATAACTCCATTCATGGACGAGTATTAAACAAGGCTCGTGGTTTTTCTTGCCCATAAGACTCTCGGCAACCAGGGAATCCTAGCAAATGGAGTTGGAAGAGATGCTGAGAGCTCACTGACTCATTCCCTTTTTTCCAATGGGCTCAGTTCCACCTAACCGAGCCCCGACAGCTCGTGTTAAGCATGTGCTTAACAAACTCCAGCATTGCAGATGCCACAGCTCCCCATGGCGGTCTAAGTGCTTCACCAGACACTTGCCGTGATGTTTTCAGCAACATTTCCGAGGAGGGACAGCTTTGCCTGTCCAGGCAAAGAATTTCTGGGAGACCTCATCCTACAAGATTGTCCATTCTTGTTTCTGCCCGCTCCCACACTCTGCTCCTCTTCTTGCCTTGCCAACTCCTCTCCTCCCTGCATCCAGAACTCGAGTTCAGAACTACCAAGTAAAAATCTAGAAGAGGGATTGTGCATCCCTCCCAAATGGGCCATCCTCTGTCTCCCTCTGTTTAACATTCCCAGAAAGAATGTTTCCACCCAGACACCAAGACGCATGGCTTGGCAAAGGGGAAAGCCACATACATGTTTGAAGCAAAAGAATGGCATTGTATCGTCTTTGCTTGAACTCACCATTTTCCTTCTGGTGGTAGAAAAGCTGCTTTAAGGAGAAGTATTCAACTGGACCGGTGATGATAAGGACTGGGACTGGAGTCACAGCAGAGACCTGGACCCTTCCACATTCCCTGTGCTAGGCGTAACTCAGATTTGCAGGGTTTTGGAGGGGTGACAGAGCCTCTGCGCTCCCCAGAGGAAAACACCGTGGCTTGTGATGCCATGGGAATGGCTGGATGGCGTCTGCACCAGGGTTTCCGCTCTGTCTTGCTGAGCTAACGCAGGGTCTAGCCTCATTAGTGCTAATTAAAGACAAGGAAAAGACATTCAAGAAACATGAATAAAAATAAATATAAAAAATAAATGGTTCTGCTCAGGCCGGGCAGGCTGCAGAGAACAGGCCAGAAATAGCACCTAAAAATATGAATTTGGGCTTGAAAACATGAAGGTGTTTTTCGCCGGGCATGCAGGTCGTTAGCCAGCCTCCTCCTTGAACGATATTCCTTTGCAAACGGCAACTGAGCTCTCTTGGGATCTGGCTGTGAATTCCTGTCTGTGACAGAGAAGCACGCACCGCAAAGATGCCACTTGGCTAATGCACATATTTGGGAGACCCTGGACAACCTGAGAGGGAGGGAAGTGGGTGGTCTTCTGGAGAGGAGCTAAGGTCCAGACCAACCACGTGTCCCCTTTCTCCTTCCATCTAGATGCTCCCAGAGGCTCTGCCCACCTTTCCTTATTACTGTGCTCCTCCTCCTCCTCCCCTCAAAGCCAAACTTCCCGGCTGACTTTCTCTCCTGCCCTTAAAACACACTCTGAGATGCCATAAAGGAGTCTGCTTGCAATGCAAGAGGGGAAAATCCCTGCAGGATACAAGGCTGCCTCATGCTCCCTCAGGTTATCTAAACAACTATGGTAGATACTTGTTAACTGGTTCTCAGCCTTCCTCAAAGCCTTAAAAATAATACTTGAAACACAGTGAGGAGCATTTATAAAGACCGTGATAACAGAAAAAGAAGTCTGCTTTCAAAAGGTGAGGCTCCAGGGGCTGTGAGGACAACTTGGCTCTCTTTAGTGGTAGAAGTTAGCTCTTTTGTCCCCGCTTTTGCACCACAAGCACGAGAAGTTCAGATGTACCTGGTTCTGTCATTCTTTTCAATCACTCAAAACTGTGGTAGAGCTATGGTCAGCCCAGGACCATTTGCCATATTGTGGCCAACACTGATATCAAGGTAGTGCGAGGCTGAACTCAGAGGGAGCGCCATCATATCAGGTGCTGTACGAACACACCATAAGAGATGAGTCCTGTCCCAGGGAGGTCATAACAATAGAATTACAGAGTAATTTAAATCAGAAGGGACTAGATCAGGTTTCTCAGGGCCCGGTTCAGCCAGGTGTTGAATATCCCCAAGGATGGAAATCCCACAGCCTCCCTGGGTTCCTGTTCCAGCGTTTGACCTCCCTCATGGTGGAAATGTTTTTCCAAATAAACGTTAGATTCTAACAAGAGGCAAAATCATTGGTAAATTAATTGCTCAGACTTGGGGACTCCCAAAAAATGAGTCACGGCAGGAGACTGAACGTTGTCTCCAAGCCCAGGAGTCCCACAGAGCCCCTTCTTGTAGGTAGGAGCTGGGATGGCCAACGCAGAGTGACAAACGCCAGAAGTGACAGATGAAGGGATACTCCCAGGACAAGAAGATGAAAGTGCTACCAGCTTCAGGAGACTCAGCTCTTTCTAGCAAGAAGGACAGCTTACAAAATGCTGGGTTCCACCTGAGTTCTGCTTTCCTTCCCACGATGGGGGAGGCACTCAGAGCCTGCTTTGCTAATATGATTAGATACTATTATTAGAGACCCATTACAGCAAGATAATTATTGCTATTATTATTATTGCTCTAATTTATTTCATTGCAGCGTGGCTGCAGAACCTAGTGAGGACCATACCAGGCCAGGTCCTACACAAATGTGCGACCAAGAACCATCCCTGCCCTGATGAGTAAGAGGGAAGGTCCCAGCCCTGCAAAACACTGAAGCACGTATATAAACGCGTTTGTGGGACTTGTTCCCTTTGAGATCAGCATTAATCACACACGCGAATTTTGACGCGGAAGGGTTTGCAGCACAAGGTTTCGTTATGCCAAACCAGACCTTTTGCAATGGTTCAGTGGTCACCAGAATGAAACGAGCAGAGCCGAACCAGGGCAGGGAGCCAGAGGGGTAGAAAGGTCATTTAACCTTTTCTAAAGGTCTTTGCTCTTTGTGGAAGTGCAATATCTTAAATCACTTCAGTTGTTCTTCTGTAAATTGATCGTAAGAGATCCATATTTCACTTGCAATCTTGTGGGCTGGCTGGAGAGGGCGCAATCAGGGGGAGCTCAGGAGTATTGTAAGGGAGCTTTAAAACCGATCAACAACTCTTAATATAATATTGAAACTGTGACTATGTCAGGGGTGGTGTTTTGTTTTGCCTTTTTTTTTCCCTCCCATGTATAAAGTTTGAAGCTTCCCAAGCCATCAGGGAAGGTCCCATGGAAACAGCCACTTATTTGTAAGGGGGAGAGGGAAACCAACCAACTGAACAAGCTGTAATTATTTAAAGATGTAAAAAAAAAAATATACATATTATGAAGTAGTATGGCTACCAATCCATGTAACTTCTACACCTTTAGAACTAATGGAAATAAAACAATGACAATAAAACTAGAAGGCTGCTGCTTGTCCCTGACTACCCCCGTGGGCTTCTTGGGGAGGGCCGGGGGTAAATGATCACACATGAAACACACCTGGAGTAGCAATGGTGTGATGGGTCCTGTCCCAGGGAGGTCATAATGACAGAATTACAGAGTAATTTAAATCAGAAGGGACTACATCAGGTTTCTCAGGGCCCGGTTCAGCCAAGTGTTGAATATCCCCAAGGATGGAAATCCCACAGCCTCCCTGGGTTCCTGTTCCAGCGTTTGACCTCCCTCATGGTGGAAATGTTTTTCCAAATAAACGTTAGATTCTAACAAGAGGCAAAATCATTGGTAAATTAATTGCTCAGACTTGGGGACTCCCAAAAAATGAGTCACGGCAGGAGACTGAACGTTGTCTCCAAGCCCAGGAGTCCCACAGAGCCCCTTCTTGTAGGTAGGAGCTGGGATGGCCAACGCAGAGTGACAAACGCCAGAAGTGACAGATGAAGGGATACTCCCAGGACAAGAAGATGAAAGTGCTACCAGCTTCAGGAGACTCAGCTCTTTCTAGCAAGAAGGACAGCTTACAAAATGCTGGGTTCCACCTGAGTTCTGCTTTCCTTCCCACGATGGGGGAGGCACTCAGAGCCTGCTTTGCTAATATAATGAGATGCAATTATCAGAGATTTTTTTACAACAAGATGTTCCCAGCTGGACTCAGAGACACCACCCCTAAGTCAAAATGATGTTTCCAGCAAGGGCTGAACTCTGCCACCACCGCCCTCTGCAGAACCACAGCCCTCCTACAAGCACCCAACCTTCCACCTGGGGTGCCCAGCTTCCTTCCCAATCCAACCAGTCCCTGGACACCCCTGGAACTGATACGGTTGAGTGCAGCCAGAACTTCAAACCCCACCCATTCCCCCCTACACCAGACAATTGGGCAGCTCCCCTGCTATTTGGGAGGGGAGGGTCCTTCTCCCCTATAAAAGCGGGTGGGTGGAAGGGTTTTGGGTGTGGAAGGTGTTGTTGAGGATGGGTAGGTTGGTTGTGGAGAGGCTGTGGGGGGGATTGGGGATTGGGGATTGGGGATTGGGGATTGGGGATTGGATATTCACCAAGGGGAGAAATGAAGTTGGGGAGGAAGACTGTATGGTCGGCTTCCCCAGGTGCACGCACAGGGTGGGCCTGGGAAGGGCAGTGGTTTGAGGGGTGCAATGGGTGCCTCCACAAACCTGGGAAGACATGGGGTGGAAAGTCTGGGCTCAGTTGTTTTGGAGAGCTGCAAGTTGATGCTTGGAGGATTGTGAGAAGATGGTGAGCTCTGATCCCCCCCTCATTGCATGTGGAGGGTCAGAAATCCCCACAGGAGCCTTGTGCAGGGGAGTGAAGCCACGGTGGTGCTTGCTCCACAGCAGGGTTTGGGGACATGTTCCCTGGGTATGTGTGAGCTGGCAGCATGGGTGTGCAGGCAAAACTGGGTTGGACCTAGCAGCCTTGTCCTTGTTGTGTCCTGGCATGGGTGTTTGGCTTCTCTCTGAGCGCAAGGACTGGAAATGAGCCCATACACAGGGAGGACTTCTTCTGGAGGCCTGGCTCCCTGCTCTGGACCAGCTCAGGTGGTTTGCTGGGATAGGCTCTGGGGTGCAATGGTTGTGTTCCTGGGATGATGGGTGTCATGCCCTGCAGAAGGCTGGGGCTTGTTGTCCTCTTCTTCCTCCTTGGAGGTGGGGGAGGAGGGGGAGCATTTTGGAAGAGGCTGAAATAAGTCTGGAGTAAAAATGTGAAGTAGGGAGGTCTATGGAGAGAAGGAGACCAGCAGATGCTGGTTCTTCTGATGCCCTGGGAGAAAGGGCAGGCTCCTGAAGAGGACCACTACTCTGCTGTCCAGAGTGGCTACAGCTGGGGCAGTGTGTACCTTAAAACCTTACAAAGCGCTCAGCACTTGCAGTCTCTCACAATGAGCCCCTTGTGAACTGAATCAGCAGCAAATGGACCTGTGCGCCTCTGCAGGTGAGGAGCTTCCCTGGGGTCTGGGCTCTGGGCTGTGTGAGCTCTCTTGGGGCTCATTCCGTGCTGCCCCAGATGAAGCCCATGCCTGGAGAGTCACAAGGAAGACCTACAGGGTCTGGGGCATGGGCAGACCCCTTGGGTGACCTGTGTCCAGCAGCCAAAAACTGTTCCAGGGATCCAGGTTGCCTCTGGTGCCTTTGGCAGCGGGAGCATCTCGTTAGTTGACTCTTGATCTGCAGCTGGCTTTTGACTAAAGTCTGACCACAGCATGCGGCTTTTTTGGGTGGAACTGGAGCAGCCCTGGGAACAATTATCCCATGCCCCAGGAGACGTGGGAATAAAGCTCAGTCTTTTACTCCTGGTAAAGCTATTTTGTATGGCCCATTAATGTCTTTAACTTTGTGCCTTGGATCCAGGTAATGTTCTCTGACATGTTTTTCTCTTTCAGCTCTTCCAAAAGGGATTTGGTCTGTGCTTTTATATGAAGGCCTTTTTTATATATATATATGAAGGCTTTTATAGCCATGCTACCTTGTCTGCTCCTGCTTGAGGGTATGTTCACACCTCACTGCTGTTCACAGCCCCATGGAGGTGGCTGCTGGCTTAAATGCTTCTTCTGGGCTAAGAGCTTTGGTGGACAAGGATGTCCCCTTACTGTGGCAGGAGCATGTGGCACTGAAAGCTTTGGTTTCACAGTCGCTCTGAGCTGATGCGAGAATGGACTGCTGTATCGGAGCTAGTGCAGACACTGGAGAGGCTGAGACGTTAGCTTGAGGTGGGAATGCCTCTTCTGGTGGGGGCCATGCATGAAGTTTCTGTTGATTGTCATATCATGCGCCAGGTAGCTCAGAGCCTGGTTCTGACTGCTGTGGAGTCTGAAGCTGAGCAGTGCTGGTCTCCAGGACTAATCTGCAAGGGCATATTGGCACTGTGCTTTCCATTTGCTGGAACCTGCTTTTTTTGTACACCCAGTCCTGGCAGAAGTCCTCAGAAGGAACCGCAAGTGACACGTGGCTGTGATTTCATGTCAGAAATGACTCCTTATGTACTGCTGTGACTTCCTGGAGGGAGCTACAGGATGCTGTAGGATGGTGCTGCTTCAGCTCCCCCTCATCTAGAGCCTTCTGATCCCAGGTTCTGCTAGTAGGGCCCATGAATGCTCCCTGACTGGCCTCATGCCATTGTGGTCAGCGGGGCAAGCAGCTGGCAAGGCAAGGGGAGGGGGTGAGCTATCTCCAGTGCCGGTATCGGGCAGCAGCGCTTGCCCTGGTGGCTGCATCGGGAAAGGATGGCTCACCATGGCCTGCACTGATTCGGGTTTGTTAAGGTCTATGTAAGATTGTGTTCCTCCTTTGCACTGGGACATCAAGGCTGTCACTGAGGGAACGGTTGGAGTTAGGTGAGCTCTTGCTCCTGGTGATGAGAGAGTCTATTTTAAGGTCCTCTGTGGAGAATCTGTGGTAGGAAAGAACTTCTGGGGATCCCCAGGCCAAATTCTTGCTTGTGGGGTGAAAACTACCATTAGAGCAGGTTGCTCAGGGCCTTATTTGATTGAACTATGAATACCTCGAGCATGGAAATTTCCCCCACCTCCCTGGGCCTGATAGAAACCTTCGTGGACTTTGCCACAGGGACTTGAGGAGGAAAATGGGGGCAAGGAGATTGTGGCAAGCTCCTCCTCTGACTGGTTTTGTGTATTTCTGAGTTGCAACTTTCCTTCAAGGCTAGGGCACCAAGTGTGAGAAGGACCTGCCATTCCCCCAACAGCTGTTGGAGATGCCAGAAGGCCCATCAGTGAGGAAGTTCCAGCTGCTGACCTCCCCTTTTGTGGGACAAGTGGTGGCCAAGGTGGGGGGAAGCAGCCGGAAGATCAATGTGAATGACCTGAATGCCCTGAGGCTCCAGGACTCCCAGGTGAGCTGTGCTAAAGATAAACTTACTGGTCCATGGCAAGTCTGAGGCAATCCACCATCATCCTGCATCCAGGTCACAGAAGGTGCATAACCTGAGAACAACACCAGGCTCATGTTTGAGGTGGACTGTTGGCTTCTTTTTATAGCCACAAAATAAGAACATGTGGCCCAAGAGGTGTGAATGCCCATTTTGCAGTACCACTCTGTGTTGCAAAGTTTGGGATCAAGGTTCCCGTGAGGAGAGGCAGTTGCAGTGATGTGGCTAGACACGGAGATGCTCAGAATTATTTGCAGTTTTGAGTCAGTCATGCTAATGCACTGCTTCTGTGCCTCTCAAGGGAGGAGGAATCGGTGTTGGCGAGAGCTGTTAGTAGAAGATGAGAGTTGATTTCTTCAGCAGCCTTGTTTCCCTCAGCTGTGAACTTGCACAGTTCCTTCCCTTACAGCCGAGGGCAGGGTTTCACCTGTCTAGGTTGAAATGCCTGTGCTGTGGGCACTTGTGAGATAAACACACTGGGTCAGTCCTGCCGGGGGTTTCACTTGCCTGACCTCCTTCAGATGATGATTTGGACTTGACTGACCAAATGCTAGTCCAGTCTTACCTCTGATTATATGATAGTCTCAGCTGAGGGCAAAGATGTGAGCAGCTCAACAAGTCAATTGTGGCTTCAGGGTCACCCTAGCTTGAGACGCTTGAGGTCATTGCAGAGTGGGGAGGCGAATGAGAAGCAGTGATGACAGACTTTGAAACCCCGAGTGTCTGTCCTGGTGTGTCTCTTTGGCCTGACGTGAGCCTCTGTGAGGGCTTCACACTGGTGTGTCATCTGAACACCTTGTGAATCATGTAGACAAAGAAGGGATGAGAGGATGACTGCTGCTCTGATTGGAATGGCTCAGATGCTACTGAATCCTGTGTTCAACATGGGGTGATGCACCTTCTATCTAAAAAAGGTTGTAGAAAATAGTCACTTGTCACTTTTTACTAGAGTATGTAGTGATAGGACAAGGGGGGATGGCTTTAAACTGGAAGAGGGAAGGTTTAGATTAAACATTAGGAAGAAGTTTTTCACTCTGAGGGTGGTGAGGCACTGGAACAGGTTGCCCAGAGAGGTTGTTGAGGCCCCATCCCTGGAGGTGTTCAAGGCCAGGCTGGATGGTTCCTTGGGCAACCTGGTCTGGTGGGAAGTGTCCCTGTCTATGGCAGGGGGGTTGGAACTCAATGATCTTCAAGGTTCTTTCCAACCTAAACCATTCTATGGAAACAGCCAGAGGTTATGTGGATCCTCAGTAGATCTGACCATTTTTCTCAGGTTCATGGGAAGAACTTGTACCTGGCATTTGTGACAGCTGAAGGTCTCTTAGGATCAACTGCAGAAGAGCCAGTGCTGCAAGGAGAGGCTGCTAGTGGGGCAAGTCCTGCTGTCCAGGGAGGGCAAGATGATGTTTGTGCTCCACAGACCCATCCCCAGGAAGAGGACCTGCAGGAACTCCAGTACGCAAGATCTGAAGCCCCAGACGCAGCAGGGGGGCTGGGCAGCTGGCTGCGCTTCCACTTCGGCTTGTTTGGCAGCATTCGGGCAAACGAGTTTTCAAGAGCAAACAAAGCTAACAAGAGGGGAGACTGGAAAGACCCTATACCCAGGTATTTGGTGGAGTCCTCCCAAACTCTGCTTTCTCCCCACCTCTCATTCTGGAAAGGCGCTCTTCTGTCTCAAACTAAATTTGTGTGGGAGTGTTCTTAGTCCCCTCTCTTTTTTTTTTACTCTGATAATTCTTAAAATAAGTAGGCACAAGAGATAGCATGAGGGAGTACGGGCTGTGTTTGACCAGGGAATCTATAGTAGACTGTTGGGTATTCCTGTGTTGTAGGTGTCTTGCAGGTCTCCCAACAGCACCAGCTGATGATGGTTTTCCTTGGACATACCTTATCTTCGTACTGCATGTTCTTCTACCCTTAAAAATTGGGTTTTCTACCCTTTGTTGCCTTCTGCCTCCTCCCAGCCACACCCTCTCTAATGCTTTCCTTTTTCTGCTGTCTGTGTTTCATCTCCTTTGCTTTCTGTGATCAGAGAATTAAGGGATTGCACTTGTGAGATGCGTGTTGCCTGCCAGTCTGGGGATCGTCATACCAGCTCTGTTAAGATTTTTTTTTTTATTATTATTTTTTTATTCAGAGAGAACTTTTAGGATGCTAGATTGAATCATGCCCTGAAAATGCCAGTTTCTCCCAGTTACATGTTTTAAAAAAAGAAAAATAACCTTGCATAAATAATATACATCTGAGGCAGCTGGAGCCACTGTTGGAGTGATGCTGTTAAAGGCAGCAGTGTGTTGAAAACAGTCTACAGTCTGCATCCCAAGTTCCATTGGAAGAGTGCTGGACAAGGAAGGGGTAAATACTGGAAGACAGTGTGGACTCTGCTCTTGTGAGCTGTTTAACCTGAGTGGTTAATAATGTACAAGGTGGGTGTCTGGCACCTGTGTATGTAGGGACACGCTCCCCGCTCCGACTTCCTGCAATCTTTTGAAGGATTGCTTTATTTCTACACAAAGAGTTTCAGATGTAGTCAGTTTTGTGTGCTACTTTGAGCCTCGGTTTCCCTGACTGTGGACCCTACTGCGAAGATGCTGATGGGTCTCCCTGCCTGCTGCTGTCTTTCGGTTAGAGACCACAGGGCAGCGTGAAGGAACAACTTGTCTGCAAGTTGTGTGGGTTCACAACCAAGTTTCTTGGCTGAAATCATTAAGGAGACTACTTGGCATTCAGATGGTGCTAGAGCTAAACCTGGCTTCTGTTGTCAAGGACAACAAAAAAAATTTCTATAAATATATTAGGAATAAAAAGAGGACTAAGGATAATCTCTGTCCTCTAGTAGATGGGGTTGGTAACATAGTGAGCAAGGATGAGGAAAAGGCTGAGGTACTTAATGCCATCTTTGCCTCAGTCTTCAGCAGTAGGACCAGTTGTTCCCTGAGTACCCAGACCCCTGAGCTAGAAAACAGGGATGGGGAGTAGAATGAGACCCCCCGTAATCCAAAGGGAAATGGTGAGGGACCTGCTTCAGCACCTGGAGATACACAGATCTATGGGACTGGATGGGATCCACCTGAGGGTACTGAAGGAGCTGGCAGAAGTGCTAACTGGTCCACTTTGCATCATTTATGAGCAGTTCTGGCTAACTGGGGAGGTCCCAGCTGACTGGAGGTTGGCAAATGTGACACCCATCCACAAGGAGGGCTGGAAGGAGGATCCAGGGAACTACAGGCCGGTCAGTCTGACCTCGGTGCCTGGGGAGGTCATGGAACAGATCATCCTCAGTGCCATTACACGGCAAATGCAGGAGAACGGGGTGATCAGGCCCAGTCAGCATGGGTTTACGAAAGGCAGGTCATGCCTGACCAACCTGATCTCCTTCTATGACAAGGGGACCCACTTAGTGGATGAGGGAAAAGCTGTGGATGCTATCTACCTGGATTTTAGCAAAGCTTTTGATACCGTTTCCCACAGCATTCTCCTGGAGAAACTGGCTGCTCATGGCCTGGACAGGTATACTCTT